GTGCAGCAGGAGGAGAGCGGGAATGGCAGCAGGAAAACTCATGGAGAAAGGAGATGGCGAGCACATATTCTGTCCATGCATCTGCCTTTGTTTCAGGAGACTCAGCAAAGCTTCCAAGCATTGGAAGCAGCACTGTGCCAGGAGCTCCTTCAGAGTTTCCTTTACAGGTGCCAGTTTGCACAGGCTTTTGTAATTGAGAAGGATCATTTACATGTGTAATGGTTTAAACCAAAAAACAGCCACCGTGCAGGTACCAGGAGCCCCTCACTGTGGATCGATGCGAAAGAGCTCTCCTGTCCTACTGTCCTAAGCCCTGTAGGTTTGGGTTTGGTGCCCCAAAGCCTTCCTGTGGCTGCAGGCTCTCTACCTGCTTTAAAGCATAAACCCGTGGTCCCACTTGGGTGCTCCTCAAAGCCATACAGGTGTGACTGCTCCCTGTGAACCTCTGAGCATCCCTGCCTTGCCTGATACTCCCAGTAAAACCCCAGGTGACCGACCCCAGAGAGGGGCAGGCATCTGCCCCAGGGCATCCTCCAGCTCCTATCCCTGCTCCTATTCCCACTCTGGACATGGTACTGCCTTTAGAGGCCAAGGTAATGAAATAGATGCAGATGAGCTCACCATGAGCTGCTTCATTGAGGTGCCCCGCATGCAAGGGAGGCAGGAGCGCAACGGAAAGCTAATGGGGCTGAAGCATTAGCTCTGCGATTGGAGCATGGCGAGGAGCCAAGGCACTCCCTTTTTGTTAATCCACAGTACTTGTTATAAGATTGAATATCCATTTGGGGGCAGAATTCACCCACTTTCCTTCGCCCATTCCCCTCTGAAAGCATTGTAATGCTTTACTTATTGGCATCTTATTTTGATGAATATGCTGTGACTGGCACAAAAAAAAAAAAATCCCAAATGGCATTAGGAGGCTCAGCCACGTGTCCGTTGGCCCATGTGCACTGAGTACCATCAGTCAAGGTTCATATTGCTCACAGGATGCTTCACCAAATGTTTTCCTAGCATCACCACCACCAGGAGCGTCAGCAGGGAAAAATCCCACTGCTGGTCCCATCACCAAACCCTCCACGTGCCACAGGGCAGGCTCCAAAATGCCACAGCCCACGTGCTGGCAGAGGGAAGGCTGCTGCAATGCGTGGGTTGTGCCAGGATCCTGCCAGGATCGCTCCTGACCTTGTCAGCTTCACACGCGGGCACATCCCACTCTCCTTCTGAAGGCACGGAGCCACTGATGTGCCGCTGTTTGCTTTGGGAGCACAGCAGAGCCAAGGCCCTGTCTGAGCACTGCTCGTGTTGTTTCTGGGCAAGGGAAGAGGAGGGAGGCAGTGATTCAGAAAGCAATCCCTGTGCAGCACATAAAGAGGAGCCCTTCGTGGTTTAGGCTTTCTAATTATAATCAATTAGAAGTCATAGCTGTCGCGCTGCTTCTCGCACGGCTTCGGGCAGAACCGTTGGCAAAAGTTGTTTTCAAGAGCATTTTGTATCAAATCCATCACCAGCGCTGCAAGCACGGCCTGGGGAGGGCAGCACCTCAGGCTGGTGTGTGCTGGGAGAGGGGGAGCCAGCAAAAGGCGATGACCGTTCTTAACGTGCTTTTATACACAGAAACGCCCCCAGCAACAGAAAGCTTTCTGAATTTGCCAGCAACGGTTAAAGAAAACCCATTTCCTTGTTGCTGCTCATAACTCAGAGAGCTTCCCCCTCTAGTCCACCGTTTATACACGAATCCTTACAGCGTTATGTGCTCTGTGTAAGCAGGAAAAGTCCGGTCCAGGCACGGCAGCGCTGAGTGACGGCACACCATCCCCCGCGAGCCGCGGGCAGCCCCGGGCTGTGCCGCCCATCCCCGGTCTCGCACTGCCATCTCATGGCAGCTCCGGGCCCGCACTGAGCCCATCCGTTTCCTTTCAACTCTTCTCAAGTGTTAGATTCAGTTGCTCTGCGATGGTTTCAGATCTATACATTCAAACAAAACGCGGAGAGTAAATGAGTTTTTAATTACCGAAAGCTCGCCGTCCAAAACCTAGAAGCCTTCAAAGGCGGCTCTGGGATGGAGCACACCAGCACAGAGCTCATTTATCTCCTTGCGAGACATCCCGTCCAGACTGCTATATACATGTAACACTATCCAAACATGTGCCTTCCACATTACAGTCCATCTCTAATGGCTCCTTTATTTCAAGAGAGAGGGAGGAAAAAAAAAAATGAATAAATAAAAAGGAGATAAAGCCAGACTGGAATCTGGAAGCCATCGCAGCCTTTGAGAAGGAAAGCTATCGCAAATGTGGAACTTCCATCACAGCCTCCTCGTGGCTCCAAGGAATTCCCAGCAGCAAAACCTCCCCACTGCAGGGACAGCACATGCTGCACCTCTGGGTGCACAGAGGGACCCTTGGTCCCCTGAGGAGGAGGAGAAGCTGCCACCCAAAAAGCTGCCACCCCCCGTCCCACAGCATGCTGCCGAGCCACAGAGGTGTGCCAGGAAAGCCATGCTGTCAGAGAGCTTTCCTCCCAGGCTTCAGCTCTCGCTGTGCCTGCAGGAGGATCAGAGGAGGCCTAATCCAGGGATTAGGGCTGGATGCAGGCGGAAGGAAGGGCTCAGCTGTGAGCTGTGAGAGCACAGTGCTGCAGGGGGCAGCTGCCAGAGCAGCAAAGCCCAGCAAAACTAGAACTGTTTTTTTTTTTTTTTTTCTCCAATAGCTCAGGATCCTATTGCAAAGGACAAAACCATGATGGGAAATGGGACGTTATCACAGAGTTGGGACCTGAGCACAGGACCCATCCTGGGGCACCATGGGTGTCATCTCCTCCATGGAGCAGCACCCAGTCACAGCTATGGGATTTCACAGCATGCAATGCAAGGAGTGAGGAGCAAAGCCAGCCCAACCCACAGAGAATTCTCAGCCTGGAAGGTGGCTGGAGCCTGGCACCACATGTGGCTACAGTAAAGTCGGGCACAGCAGTGAAGAATGTAAGTTCCTCCCATTTTACATCTCAGAGCTCCAGAAGATCTCCGACCAACCCCACCACACCAATAGGTCCCTCTTTGGAAAAACCCTGGGTTTACACAGCTCTGCTGATGAACCACCCAACCCTCAATGACACGATGATGCTCTGCTCACCCAGAACAGCACCAGGCAATGCACACTGCAGTACAGCACAGGGCTACACACACTGCCTGGCACCTGTTGGATGCCTCGTTTTTCCTTTGCACACTTGTATGGAAATTTAAGTGCAAAACATTCCTTCAAACTACTCCTCAGCGCACAAATATAGCTTTAAATGACTTCTCTAGGAAAGAATCCTCACTATTTTATACAAATTGTCTCGCATGTTTATTGCTCAGAATCATGATCCAAGAAGAAGGGGATTCATCCCATGCCTATTCATAACACTGCTCTCCCAGACTCATTACAAGCTGAACGCAGTCCAGGCCCTGCACATGATGGATGATGCCTGCTTCAGGCTCCGCTTTCAGTCTGCTCTGATTTGCTTATTTATGGAGCAGCACTAGTGGAAACCCTTCTTGCACAGTTTTACCTTTTCAGCTTTATCTCCTCCCAACCATAGGAATATCAACCCCACCAAAGGAAAAATTGGAACTGTTACTTCTCTGTGCCATTACCTGGCTACAGCAGGGCATTGCCTGGCCCCTCCTACCCTGCAGAGCTTCGTGTTCTCAAGTACTGAGTTGATTAATTACTACTGAGGAGAGCATGTCATCCTGCCCTGAGCCTGCCAGGCTGCAATAAAGGCCCACAGAGGACCCAGCAAGACCCATAGCACAAAGTGGCTTTAGACTGAAGATGCTTTGATGCATTCCTCCACAGTCAGGCAGCATCCCTAAGGCACACACTGCACAAGAGAAAATAAATAAATAAAAAATAAAAACAGCAGCAAACCCAAGCTGGCTGAGTCACACGCCTGCTGGAGAATGAAAGAACAAAGCCCTATGGCCAGAAGCAACTGCTTGAGTATGGGCTCTTGAGGCAGCATTGCCTATCCTTGCCTGCTAACTCTTAGCAGGCAACTCTTAACATTTCATCAAATAAGCTATGTTCAACAAACTGCCATTTAATTAGCAGAGCAGAATCCTGCTAATTAGCCTGGCCCAGAAGACGGCCCTTCATCCCCACTAAGTGGCATTCCCAGCTAATCCCCGTGGGCACAGCTGTGCCACAGCCTGGAGAGATGAGCAGCACAGAGGTGGGTGTTCACAGCAAGGGAGGAGGGGGCTGCACACATTCTGCATGGCTTTTAAATGCAGTGCTTGCTAAACTCCAAAATGCCATTTGTCTGGTACCTGAAAACTTGTATTGCACATTTTGATCCAAGCTCAGTTTCAGACTGTGGCATACTTGGAGAATTTTAGTCATCACTCATCAAACCAGGTATTAATTATCATCATCAGAGTTTTAAGATGACCAGGAAAAAAAAAATCCACAAAACAAATTAAAAACCCCAAACCGTAATTTAATTTTAATACTACAATAGGGACACTGAATAAGGAAAATGAATAAGGAAAACTTGACAAGTTTGCAAGGTATCCTTTGGTGGTGAACAGACAGCTCTTCCATATCATGGCTAAAATAAAATCACCACCTATTCAATATTCAAGCAGAGATCTTTCTTAAAGAAAGGGTATGCAAGACAGCTAGAAAAATCCTTCCCTTCAATGAGATGAGTAAGGTAATAACTAACCCATGACACTGCCAGGCATCACCGAAGCCACAGAGCAGGAACACTTCATCCCAGAAATGCAATTTTTAGGGTGGAGACACATTGGAACAGGTTGCCCAAGGAGGCTGTGGATGCCCCATCCCTGGAGGCATTCAAGGCCAGGCTGGATGTGGCTCTGGGCAGCCTGGTCTGGTGGCCGGAGACCCTGCACACAGCAGGGGGTTGGAATTAGATAAGCTTTGTGGTCCTTTTCAACCCAGGCTATTCTATGCTTCTATGATGATTCAGAAAGCAACCGCAGAAGCAAGACATTGGATTTTCAAAGCTTTGTTTAATTAATAATGCTCACTAACTGCACAGTTTGAATTCATAAATACAAAGTTGTAAAAAAAAAAAAAAAAAAAAAAAAAAAAAACCAACCTCTCCTATGTGTAATTCTTATTGCTACATTTGATTCTAATGGCTGCTTCTTAAAACATGTGGAGATCAGTGCCGTTGGACCAGTTGCCAAACAAGAACTCTTGCCCACAAAGCAATGCTGAGCAGAGTGCAAATCCTTCTCTATCTTATGGCTTCTTCTTGCACAAGGAGATAAATTAATCTTTGGTAGAACAGTAAAGCAAACCAGCACCTCAATTAACACAAACATTTACAGATTAATGCAGTTAATATTCACATTCATGCCACAAAACAAAATCCATTTGTTTCCTGTAAATTAAAGAAAATAGGTGACCTGGAGAGCCATGACAGCTTGGAAGTACGAGTGACAGAACTTCTTCCTTTGCACCAAAGCGAACAGCACTTCTGATCTGAGCCTCTACAGGTGCAGGCCTGACATCTCCAGAAGCATGAGGGATGAATCAGGTTAGGCAAATGGGTTAGAAAGAATTTGTGACTTCTGTCATGAATGTACAGAGAAAGATCATAAGCTGAAAAGATTATAAGCACCATCCTTTCTGAAATAAATTGGAGGTGAGGGGTTCACAGGGTTTCTTACTGCAAAATCTCTAACTCCTAGCCTGCACCAGGGTTCTTTGGGAGTCACCACACTTTAAACATTCAACATCATCTCACCCGGGGTCAGACCATATAAATGCATCTCTTCAGTTGCCCATTCAGTGAATACTTTGCTATTTACTTTTGCAGGATGTGTGCTGTTGTCAGTGCAAGAGCCTGTGAGGATAATGCCATGCAACTCCTTCATCTCCCGGGACAAAGACAGGGAGTAAATCTTCATATGATAGGAATGTCTCAAAAGGAAAACTGAAACACATTTCACCCAGGCAGTATTCCTCCATCTCAAAAAAGCAGCATCCAACGTTTGTGCATGTTTGCATTTAACTACAAACAGTTCAGAAAAATCCAAAGTGTTGTATCTTCATAGGAATCAAATGATCTGATGGAAAAAAATAGTGGCCAAATAACTTTTTAAAGAAAAAAAATCCAATGAATTAAAATCACAATTAAGCAAAAAAGTCGTGAATGGCACATTTAGCAGTCAGGGCCAACTGTGTTTCCTCATTTTCAGTAGCAAGAGCCCAATGAGAAGCATAAAATTCAAGAGGACCATGACATGTTATGTTTCTGCAGGGCCTCCTGCTGTCCTTCTCACTCAGACACCTCACCACAGTGCAAGTGACAAACGTAAGGCTGCATTTAATGCCTCCCACGTCGGCCTTCAAAGGCATGGTGCTCTCTGTGTGCTGGGGGAGAGAGAAGGGGAAAGATGTACAAAAAACATCAGTTCTGCCAAGGAGTTGAAAAGATGAACAGAAGACAATGATGCCCAAGCAGCCTAGGAAGACGCAGTGTGCTGAGCAATCTTTGGGAATGCACTACTTAAATGCACGTTTAAATAGAGCCTAAAGAAAGAGATCCCTTCAACTCCCGAAGTTATAATTTCAGTGCAATGAGAGATGTTGCATTTCCAAATAGCTGATGAGGAACTAGTGAGGTTATTCCCATGGAAATACCCCACCAGCACCTTGTCTCTCTAACAAAGGTGGAGATCAGCCAGTAGAGAATACTCACGTTTGTAAAACACGGCTCTGAAAGAGGTGTGAGGCAGAAGTTTATGTATCTTTTCTAACACTTTTGCTTCACTTGCTAAGGAGGCATCCCCATTCCAGATTTGTACAACATCTTCACGGTCACGAACGCTGATGCTCACCCCTATGACTTCATCATCTGCAAAGCACAGGAAGCATCATTAAAAACTACTTTAAATGAGACATGTCTAATTCAATACTTATGTGCTGTGAAAGCGCCCACAAGTTGAACAAACTGAAGCAACGAAAGAGCAGTCCCCAATGAAGAGAATACCAATGCTCAAACCAGACAGAACAGTTAACAGAAGAAAACAAACACTGCATTTATAGGAACTGTTGTACTATGTAAATGTACCTCATAGTGGCTTTAATGAAGTGCCATAAAATCATTCACCTTCAATATCACTTCTATCCTTGCCTACACAGGAATCAAGAGCCCACCAGGGCTCTAACAGGGGCATCTATCCAATTTGGCTTCTTCCAACTCTGACAGTACTGTGGTACACAAAGATAATTTGGGGCTCCAGAACTGTGGCACTGTAGAATTTAATACCAACCATTTAAATGCTGGCTAAGAGATGTTTACAACCCTGATAACCTGCCGTCCTCCCAGGAACACAGGCTGGTGAGCTGGGGACCAGAGGCAGCTCCGTGCTGCAACACCAAAATGCCTCGTCCTCCTCCTCCTCCTGGTAATCATATGGACACAGCAGCAGCAATCACAAGTTACCTGCAGCACAGCAGTCTGTGAACTGCTCTCCAACAGTTGCTAACAGGAGCTCTTTCCAAACTGCTGCCTAAGAAGAAGAAGTAGTAGTAGTTACTTTTGCCCTGCTATCTCAATTTAAAAGTTCCCTTTCTTAGCTCAGTTTTGAGTGCGTTCTCATTATGAGGTTGTCCAGACAAAAAAGAATGTTTGTAGCAAGTACACATTGTGTTACACAATTTCTTCAATACAGCTGGAACAAGAATTCAGACCTTGAAAATAAAAACTGATAAAAATATATTTTAGAAAAAAAAAAATGTTTAATATTTAAACTATAAATTTACCTTCACTATGTCCATGTCTCACTGCACATTGAATTCTCCCAAGAATTTCCCATGAGAAAAGACCCAAAGGCTTTAATTGTGATGGTTTGTTTCTGTGGAAAGGAATCACTACCTGTGCTAAGAGAAGTGCCAGAAAAACCCTACCAGTAAATGAAATGGATGTATATTTAAGCATCGCATCTGATTTGCCCTGCCTATGAAATAAGCCTGTCTTTCAACAGTACGAATGCTCACTGGGGATTTCAAATAAGGGGAGCAGCTATCTGCAGTTTTCTTTGGCTCTGTTAGATCAGTTACAGTCTTATCTCCTTTTGACATTTGTTATCACCCAAGTCAAAGCCCATACAAAACTTGGAATGCCTCTGGACCAACGCATACAGTAATACGCTCCAAGATGAGCATTCTGAGTGACAGAATATATACATGTATATAAAGAATATATCAACCTCTGTATTTGACTGCATCGCCACAGTGTATGCTGCCTTAAAAGAATGCCTTTTCTGCTGTTTGAGATAACTTGAGTTTTGGTGCTATTAAAAAGAAACAGCAACTTAAACACACAGAGGTTAAAGCAAAAAGCAAGCAGCTATGAAGACAACAAACCAATAAACTGCTTTAAGGAGTTTCCAAGCACTGCTATACCACCTTTGGGAACACACAGGGCTGCACATTTCTGTAACTCATTATCATCTCATCCTATATAACATACAGCCAGGCTATGGGACAGCTGATGCTCTAGAGGTGGGACAGCATGTGAGGCGACGTTCTTGCCAGTGACCAGCCCAGACATGAATGTGGGATGACCATGCACTCTCATTACCAGGCACAGTGCTCACTACTGAGTTGTCCTAATGGCCTCACGGGTAGGAAGCACCTCATCCAGTAGCAAGCAGTTGCAGGATCAGGCTTATGAGGATCTAAAAAGTATTAGTTTTTGTATTAAGAACCAGCATACAGAAGCACTGTACACATGCAACAACTTTACAGTGTCAGTATTTTGTCAGTCATACCACTAGACAGACTGATTTCCTCAAAAAACTGCCTTTCCCTCCCACCCTCACCAAGTTTTGCTCAAGCATATCAGCTTTTCCAATGAGGGCTGTACAAGATAGTTCTGTCTGGTCAAAGAGATGCTGTGGGGATTTGTGATGGTTGGAAGCACAGAGCCAAAAATGGAGAAATGGGCATGGGTTATTATTCATGCTATTTACAACAGTAATAAAAATTGAGTAAAGTTCTCTTTCAATTAAACCTCTCAGGGGCAAGTGGGAGTATTTATCATTTGAGATATCAGAAAGCATCCCCATCTCAAGAAGTGGTGATCATTCATCCTCTGAAACACGTGGCTTCTCTGAGCTCCCTAAATTCACCACCCGGCAATGCAGCTCCCAAAACCATTTATCGCCTCTGACCATCTTCACACCTTGGATTACAATAAAGAAAATAACATTTCAGACTCTTTTGTGATCACTTGGGACTGGAGGGAAGAAAGCTGCAATTCACATACGGAAGAAAGCTCACAGGCAAAACCAATTAGCTTTTGGCTGAAGTTTCTCGTACCATCTTTCAGCATCTAATGCCTTCCTCAAGGCTGTCACATTTTTCTCACACTTCATGTTCACTGTTGGAAGGTCTGACCCAGCCCCTACTCGCACACAAATAACACGTGAACAGCTCAGACCTTCCCTTCATGACAGGTTGCAGGAAAGTCACTCAGCACGCATTTGATAGGGGCACAACACCCAGCACACAGCCACTTGTTTCAGCAGGGAGAGAACAACAACGTGTCTGAACAGATCTCATCTTTCCTGTTTCCAAATTTCAGAAAGAAAACTCAAACTGCAGTTTCACAAGAGGTACACAGTGACAGGCAACCAACTCTTGCACAGGGGACACCACTCTTCTTCTTTACTCCCATACACTTCACAAAAAACTCCCCTGGCTACACAATCATATTACAAAAAAGCACAAATGGCTTTATATGACATCACAAACAGCCTGATAAGCAGCAGGGCCATCACAGGAGGGGCTGGGAAAAGAGACTGAGCAAGATCCTTCCCTACCATTGGGAGACACTGGATGAGACCCACCACCCCCTGAGAACATTAGTCCTCATTGGGCACAGCAAAGCACAGTGCTCCTCACCCCCATACAGGGTGGGCACAGGCAATGCCAAGCACAACATTCCTATTGAGTCGGATAGTTTGGGAGCATTTGATGCTCAGTGAAACTCTGGCACTTGTGCTGAATGGTGCGTGGAGTCTTGAGAGCATTGTTGAGGTTCTGGCTATAATCAGAAAGAGATGTCTGTATATTTTGAGTGCCTGCAGGCAAACCAAGTCTTGTGGATACAGTTGGTTAGAAAATACGGTGTTTGCCAAATGGAAATGGAATAGAATGCTGCAGCTTTCATTTGATTTGTAATACATCAACAAATGTGACCGAAAGTGCAAAATACTGAATCATCTGAAAAGAAACTTTCCCTCACTATCTTAAAGCAAAACATTGTAGACTTAGATGGTGTTTGCTTGTTACTTTGGGTAATGTCAAACCTAGAAAGTTTTACAACAGCTACTTTGCATGGAACTAAAAGAAACCCCTTATTAAATATTTCTAAATAAAGTATTACATACCGTACTTTCTTTAGCGACCTTCATTTTCCATATACCTCCTTTGGCATTGCTTTCCTCTTCCCTAGTTATGGGAAATAGATCAGTAAAATAAGCACTGAAATGCACATCTAGATAAACCTATGTCTGGGGGTTAATTTGCCTGGAAAATTCCCTTTTGAAACGCAATTACCGACTCCAGGTAGCATGACTCAAGTTATGACTTCTGACATCAGATATAATTCTTTCATTGTTCATATGAACTGCATCTCTCAACACCTAATCTCTCTCCTCAGGTTTGTGTGTTGGAAAATATATACGTTTTCCCTGGCTACAGACAGGCTTTGAAGTGGCTGAACCCTGCATGGGAACAAGCCACAAAGCAATTTCATGTCTTACTATGGTAACCTTTTATTTTGGAAAAACTCGGGCATATTTTCACAGAAGCAGCTTATTACTCTCCAGTTTACCCAGTTTAATTTAAACAAACAAACAAAAACAACAACAAAACCACAACAAACGAGCACACTTCATTTCAGCTTTGTGACAACCAGAAATTAATTTCCCTATTCTTACAAAAAAAACAAACAAAAAAAAACATCCTGAAGCTTGTTTGGGCTACTGATGGCACTGACCTCCTGCAATCCCTTTCAAAATGCAGCACCTGTACTTGCACAGCCTTAACACAGATGCAGTGCCATCAAGAAAGGACTCTGCATTTTACTTGTCTAATCAAACCAAAACTAAAACTAAAAGAAAGCCAAAAGTGTTCTCACCCTTCCAGAGTTCCCAAGTACTGCATACAAGGGCTTCTACAGACACCAACATCTCTCTATAAATCAACTCAGCTATTCTGCTCAGTCACAGTATTGTTAGAAAACTAACACTGATCTTCACATGCATTTCCCTTTTAACACAGGGTAGGCCAGAAACCTCCCAGAGTAACTCAACATCCAGTTATTGAGACTATGATCTGGTTAGGAAACCTTAATCCAATCACAATCTGGTGCAAATGATGTCCAAGAGATCAAGTCTCTTCGGTAAATGGCTCAGCTAATTAAGATGTGAAGGAACTGGATCAGGAAGAAGGCATGCTAAACTCAATTTCCAAAAGGAAAACATCAGTGATTCATACATTACTTCATTACCGTCCCACAATCAAGTGGGAATTTGCTGCAGTGCATCACTTCATGATGCCTTAAATTATTTTTAACCTAAGCTCATATGCACATCTTTATGCACACTCTGCTTCTGTACAGGTGAAGAGCAGATAAGGATGCAGTCACTTGCATCATGATTAAACCAGCATCCGTGCAAAGAGAAAAAAGCCACAGAGTATTTCAGACACAAGTAATGCTCTGTGTATTCCCAAACTGGATTTCAAAGCCACATTTTAATTTCTCAATTGTTAATTCACAATTGAATTTCTTTCTGACCTTTACGTTCCAAAGCAGACAATCAAATTCCAGCCTGCGTTTTTAAGAAAGATTCTCTTTTGAGCTCGACACGAGCCCAGAACACTCCTTGTGGCTCTCACCTTGTGGCACTGGCTGGCAGCAGAAACACAGCCCTCCTCCTGCCCATGCCCCCACCTCTCTCCAGGCTCGGTTTCTCCCTGCCCATTCCCAAAAGCACCACAGGGCAGCACTCACCATAGGGGCCGTCTTTCTCCACGCATCAGGTGGTAACTGCATCTCAGGGGCAAACTCGTCACGGGAGGGATGTTGTTGTAGACACTCCAGAAATCCTTCATCAAGCAAACACACAGAAATACTAATTGCATTAAGAGAATGGATTCAGTGCAAATTTACTTCTGTGGTCATTTTCTCTAAAACAATTGTGCACCCTACTGTCAAAGACCCTTCTATACTACAAGCAAATGCTCCAAAGTCAATTGATTGCAGCTTACAGGGGAGGGTGGGGAAGATCCAATCCTGCTTAAGGTGGAGGTAGAAAGAAGGACACCAATGACATCCTAAAATCTACCAAACATCTATCAGTAACTCCAAATGACTGTGCCCCAGCATGTGGGCAAATATTTGTTGTGGTTATTTAATTTGCTTAATATGCTTTAGAGCCAAAGTCTGTAGGAATAGAGAGAAAAAAGTATCAAAACCAGAGTTATGCTGAGTTGCGTCAGAACAAACCAGCACTGAAAACTTTTTAAACATACTAGAAGTACACACTTAATTGTACCTTATGTAAAAACTCTCCACTTTGCATCAATTAGGACTCATCCAAAACTTCACTGGAATCAGCCTCAACTACAACGAATAGACAAAACCAAGCAATAGTTCTGCTGAGCCAAGTGCCTAACTATAATCCAGATTCTCTGCCTAGATTCACAAGAACAGGTTTCATGAGACCAGGAACCTGAGATGCACGCATTAGTGCAGGAATGGGGGAGAATGAAAGGACCAGGACCCATCAGCTCACTTTCTAACTTTTCTGCTGAAAAAAACTAGAAGCAGTGATGCACTTGGGTGGATAAAAGGCACTAACAGCAGCAGTGAGCAACAGGGAGGGAAGAGTAAAGAGATCCCAACTCCCTTTCTTCTTTATCCAGCAGTTGAGAGGAAGAAAGGTCTTTAAACACTTGTGTTGCACCGACATGCAGAGATGTAACACTGAGCATTAGTGCAACTAATTAAGTATTAGTTCATCTACTATTTAATCATTAGCACAACTTCAGAAACAAAGATTGCAACGCTATATGGTAAAATCCCACAGCCCTTGGCTCTTCTCTCTAAAAGCCATTAAAGTCACTCCAGTTTCCCTCCCACACTGCCCTGCTGCCTCCCTGCACTCCTGGTCCCAAACCCTGGGCCTGCCAACAGCCTCCATGCCCTGTGCCAGCTGCAGACAGCCTCACCCAGCACCTCCTAGTGCAGGCTGCCTCCCAGGGCTGCTGCTGGAGACAGCATCACACACAGTGCAGGGCTGAGAGTCACTGACGAGGAAACCCAATGCAAACCATTCCTACTTCACTGCCATCAGCATGACTTCAGAGGCTTCATGAACTGAGCACCACGATGCTCATCCTCTGAATTTCACACTAACACTGGTATTAAAAGAGAAAACTGATTTACTTGCAAGAGATGCCCACTGATTGGCACCAACAGATGACACACACACAGAATTCCTCATTGCTGTGAGTACTTACTGTGATGTAAGAGCACTTTAATGCAAGACAGCTTGATGGAAGTATCAGAAAAATTCATGCTCAAGCACAGAGAGAAAAATGAGCACAGGCTGTAATACTGCGCCTTTGTGCAATGATTTTCTGCATTCAAACTTTGAGAAAAGACAGAAAACACACTGGAAATCACCAAGTGTAACAGTGCAGCACAGGCACCAGTGGGAACTGGAAATGGCAGAGTGGGCATGTCTGCTCACACCAGGTCCCTCCATCCCCTCTTCTGGTTGGCAAAGCCAAGGGCAATTCAGACCAAAGGACACCACACACAGCCATGAGGTGCATCTCCCACCACGGGGAAGCAAAGCCAAGCGTGTCTCACCCAGATGGGCGTTCAGGTAACTTCACATCTTATGTTTCATGCTTGCAGCACGCAATTCCAGTACCTCACCTGCACTGTTTGTACTCTGTAAATCTTCTTTAGGTTTGAGGCGCATTCAGCTGCTGTGGTACCAGGAAGGGACCTTGAGGGAAGAAAGAAAGAAAAACAAAGCTGTCCAATTCGAGCATCTCGTCTCCCAGCAAACTTCTGAGTAATTGCAATTAGCGCAAGCCCGACCCGCTTCCCACGTGCCCGGCCGTCCTCCCCGCACTGAACCTCAGGCAGCGCCGCCAGCGTTCGCTGCGGTCACGGCGCGGCACTGCCCCCTCCCGCCGCCAGGTGGCGGTGTGTGGCAGTGCGTCCCGGCCAGCACCGCGCCTACTGCCGCTGAGGGGTCGGCACGGGGCGGGGGAAGGAGCCAGAGCTACTGGTCCTGCACGGGGCAGCGCGCTGAGAAGCGCCGGGTGCGAGGCTGAGTGATGGGAGTGGCAAAAACACAGCCTGACGTTGTGAATTCCTGCTGTGAGCTTGACTGGAAAAAAAAATAAAAAAAAAGAGGAAAGGGGAGGGGAAAAGAAAAGAGGAAAAGGAAAGAGAGAGAGGGAAGAGAGGAGAGGAGAAAGAGGGAGAGAAATCTGTGTGGCTCATGAACTACAAAAGCACATATCATCGTCCATCAGTGGGCAAAATCCAAGCTAACTTTGCTCCTTTATGTCTCACACCGCTGACCAAGAAACGACCCGTGTCTTGCTACCAGCCTGCAGACCTCAGAGCCTCCACTGCCTGGGGGTGGCTGTGCGGTACAACGGCCCAGTGAAGCTCTGTGTCCCACAGAGGTGCCCAAGCCCACACTGGATGGGATTTGGGCAAGGGGCTGGAACTAGATGATCTTTAAGGCCCCTTCCAACCCAACCATTCTGCAGCATCTTTTCTCTCCATGTGCTCACACTGATGCTGCTCTGAGGTGCTGCTATGGTAAGGGCTGCTCTCTTAAAAACAGATTATCTGCTCCGTAACGACAGCTTTCAAAGGTTATCTGTGTAATTGCAGTAGCCGTGTAGCTATTTAATGCCACTTTCAAGCTCAGCTAAAAATGAGAAACAGAATATTCCACTCCCAGGCCAGAAGGTGGTTCATTTTGATGCTGAAGAACTATCAGCTGAAAAAAACAAAACAAAACAAAACAAAAAAAACCACCTGACATCAAGTTCTTGGTTTTGGAAGTTAAGTTAAGGTCATGGACTGTTCATTTATTTCTATTCCTAAGCGAGGAACAGTCAGGTGGTCAGGCCTTTGCTGAAAGGCTCCATACACAAGATAGGAAGCTTCATTTAAGGATCAGTATTTGCAGGTTATTATGGAGTTTTTCCACTTTGGATAATCTTACTGCTATCAACAACAGAATTCAGGTGATACATCCATACTGAACTTCCAATTACTGCCACTGCAAACAACTAGTTTTGAATTAACTCAACAAGCACTGCAAATAGCTATGAGCAGGAAGGAACGGCCCAGCCAGCCGTGCCAGGAGCAGCAGCTGGACACAGAAAGCTCAGCTGGAGATGGGCATTAATGGGTTGGTGGCCCACTGGAGTTGCCCATCTGGATTCCCCACGGAGAGCCTGCCCAGGGAATATCCAGCAGCTCTCCTACCTGCCCGCTCTGCGGCTCCCAACACTTTCCTGCACCTTCTGAATATTTGGGGGTGACATTACGCATTTCAAAGCTACTTCAGGGTTGCTCAAGCAGCTCAAACCCACCGTCCCACATCTCATAGGGCTGTTTGGTCAAACAGGAACAGGAATAACCACCCAAACTGAGCCCTGCTGCCAGCTTCAAGAATAAAGAACAAGAGACCCAAAGATAAATTCCATTGTTTTACCCATGAATAAACCTCCAGGTGGTTGTGCTGATGTTAATGCTTACTGCTGAACTGTGGCTCTTCTGTTTCCCTGCACAGAACCAAGGATAGGAGTTGTTTTCAGACGTGCTCACACTGCCCTTTGTTTCCCAGTGGGAATCAATCCCTGCCTCTCGCCGGAGCCTTAAAAGCCACTGAGCACTTCTGGAGACACCACTGTCAGTATTCAGCCCCAATGGCTTTGCTACAAATAAGCAAAATATTTACTTACAAAGCATAAGCTCAAAAACATGCTGTGGCAACTAAATAAATCCAGCAATCCATTCTGCATGCAGACAAAGACTGATTTCAAGCCATCAAAGCCTGTCAAAATGCATTTACTGGGTTGAACATTTTTATAATATTAACCATCATTTTTCATTGTAAGCCACCTACTCATGAGCTTTAATAGATGAAATAGATGATTCTAGATAAATAGGATTTTGCTATAGGGAAAAAGGGAAATTATTCAGCTTAGTTTCAAATATTTGATGTGCTCAGTTATAACAATTCCCAATTATTATGGAAACGGCTCGGTTATCAGAATTTATCTACTAAATGACATTTGTATGGATCTCATCAGTACAACCTGGGGAGAGAAAAAGCAGTATATAAAGATACATTTACCCGCAAATGTTTACTCTTTCCTCCAGTTTATAAACATTACTTTACATTTGATAACACTTCTTAGCATATTTTTCACCTGAAAGTTACACAAAAGTTACAACAGAAACAAAAGCACTGCTGGAGCAAAGCGAGAAGAAAAGCAGTTGGGTCAGAGCCCTGCAGTGCAACCTGCACCGCTGTGCACACACACACTGCCACTGGCAGGAGTGCATCTTGGACAGTTTATCTAGAATTGAGGCTTCTGCAGTGGGCTCTTGTGTGAGCTCTGTTCCATTTCTGGTGGCACTGATTTGTAAAGAAGGCTGCTGGTATTCTGCTGCTGGCTGGAAGCGGCATGCCAGCAAAGCTGGCAGCTCAGATGCACTCTGATCTTCCAAAGGTGCCTTTTTGTAAGGATGTACATCCTCTCCATCCCTGCAAGCACACACGTGTTGGACAAGAGCTGCTGCTGCCAAAACCTGCAGCTTTCCATGGGAAAAAAGCAGGCAGGTAGCAGCTCTGGTACCTTCTTATTTCAGCAGGGAAGGACTTACCTAGCATAGCTGTAAACATTTAAGGGCACACTGAACCAAGCAGGCTATTTACATCACAGCCAAACATACACATCGAAAAAACAAAATCAGTTTCACCATCTATATATTTACACAGATGTACAACCCCAGCTCTCATTAAGGGATGGTTTCAGGTTGCCAGCCTGTCCTGTTATCCATGACATCGGAGCCTTTTGCGATTTCACTTCAATTCCCACTTGTGCAATCTTCACACTGAATACACTGTCCAATAAGAATATAATGACCAGATTTCCAATCCTCGCTTTTACATTATTACATTTTGTGAGGCATAATGACACTGTTCAGTGTGTGTGCATATATATCAATCAACCCACAGTATTGCAAAAATCAGGAAAACAACCTTTCATTTAAAAGGCAGAGCCCCACACCAATCCCTCGCTGTGACAAGCAGGCGTGTGACAAGCCACCAGCAGGAATCCTCTTCCTAGTGTGACACCAAAGGCATCTGCAAACCCTGCTGACGCTGCCCAGGCCTCCAATGTCACCAGAGCACTGCATGCAAAGCACTATGGAGACATCATGCTAGTATGAGCTCGGGAACCTGCAGATCTTGACCTTGAAGCACTTCAACAATTTAAGACAGAAATCTCATTTCTTCCCACAGAAGGGAAAAAAAAGCCAGCTTCTCTGTCTCATGTCTGCCTATGAGTATTTCCACACAGCTCCTTCTCCAACAGAGTGGTCAGTTCCCAGGGAGGAGGTGCAGTTACCATCCGTGCAGGTGTTTAAGGCAAGGACAGATGTGGTGCAAAGGGACACAGTTAGCAGGCAATATTGGTGATGGATGGATGGTTGGACTGGATGCTCTTAGAGGTCTTTTCCAACCTTAATGAATCTATGATTCTATGACAAAGAGCATTACCAGACTTAGTATTTTAGACACACACCAAGGAAGGCTCTGCGCTTACAGGAAATGCAAATCTCCCATCATGTGTGTGAGATAACAGCAACAAACCTGGGCACGGGATCACAGCCCCCACATGCTACACTTGTGCCATGGCACTTAGAGAAGCAGTGCTGATGTGGATCAGACAAAGAAAGCCATTCACTACTGAGGCAGGAGCTGCACCAGGGAAGCTGTGATAAAAGTGAGGCCGCTGAGCCCAGGTGAATTGCTCGTATCACTAGCTGCTA